ACGCAGAACAGCCGCCATATTCTCTCACCTGCAATTTATTCTGCAATAAAAGCTTTCGCTCTGCAAAAACAGCCCTTGTCTGTTCTTTTCACGCTAGCGGGAAGAATGGCCGCCATCTTGGATGTCGCAATTTAATGCGCAGAAAAGGTTCGGCAGTGCAAAACAAGGGAACCACCTTCACTTATAAAATACATTGATTACCGGATACCCAGAACACCTTTCGAGATATTCGCGTGTACTTTTGTCCTTTACTACCGACTGACAACCTTTCTCGAAACAGATATCTACTAAGCATGATTGGTTTGGGAAACGTTTTCTAGTCACGTTGACTAAAGTGATTCAAATGTCTGAAGAACATCGACAAAAAAGATTCAATTTGTTCAAAAGTTAGAAGTTTACACACAATGTTAAGATGTTGAAATCGCGTGAAATTTTCTACTGATCATTTTCATACTTTTAATGAGTCGACCGACGAAAATTCGGTACAATTGGCGAAAATTGAAGAGACAACGAGGGACAAAAAAGCTTTAGATTTTAGTGGGCCGTTCAGAAGAGAACGGCTGGTTCAAGCAACTAAGAAAAATTATGTTTATCCATGTGTTTCAAAATCTGATCAGTGAGATAAGTCACAGCAGTTTCAGTTTTGACAGGTGTTGACACAGTTTTTTGACAAGTTTTGACAGGTGAACCATGCTTACATGACCAGAGTGACTAGCCTTAAGATTTCATTGAATTAAGCACAATAAAAACATGAATATGAAGTTATCAGAGGACAAAACTGTTGCCGACTTTGTTCAAACTACGATACATCAATATGACATCGACAGAAAACTCAATTAGTTTTCTCAAAAGTTGAATACATTAAAAAGTACTACTTATAATTCCCATGCAAACCATAAGGGCATACATGATAACTCTAAATTTTGGATAGTATATCTGATTTTATGTCTACAAGAATAACTTCATCATATTAGTGGGCATATTTCTGGTAGTAAATAAGTTTTTTTGGTGGGTATGATAACAAATATCACAGGTCTGTTGTTGGAGGAAAAAAATCTCAACGTCATGTTGGTGTGGCCCTGCTGGCAGGATTGCAAGACAGAATAGTTACCTTAAAGACAAAATTAGATAGAATATGAAAGATCGTAGTAATTTTGGGCTAGGTGATAAAAATAAAGAGAGATGATTTTTTCGTCGAGTAAAGAGCGTGGGAGAAAGAAAAAGTTTGGAGTCCCCATCAGCTT